AAACTGGAGAATTAACATAAATTCCAATTAATCCCACTAAATTACCTTTACCCTTCGTCGTAAAACTATGATTTCCTGTCCTATTTCTTTAATACAGTTGTAAATATCATTAAGAAAAAAAAATCTGATATATATATATATATATATATATATATATATAAATCTGATATATATATATATATATATCAGATTTTTTTTTTCTTAATGATATTTACAACTGTATTAAAGAAATAGGACAGGAAATCATAGTTTTACGACGAAGGGTAAAGGTAATTTAGTGGGATTAATTGGAATTTATGTTAATTCTCCAGTTTTGATACCATTCTTCAAGATTTCTGATGTGTGATTGAAGCGTTTAGGATGCAATTGATAGGATACATTTACTGATAGGATACATGTGTCATCGGCATACGTGCTGATGACAGCCTAGGGATAGATTGGGATGTCAGCTAAATGATCTGTATAAAGGATAGGACCTACGATACTGCCTTGAGGAACACCAGCGGAATGGGAAGAGATGGATGAATAAGCGTTTTTGTAATTTACTTTAAAGTATCTATCAGTAAGGTAGAAACGGATAATGAGGAAGTATGTAAGTGGTAGAAATTTTCGGAGTTTGTACAGCAGTCCTGATTCCCAACTCTATCAAACGCCTGTTCAACGTCGAAAAAGACTTCCGTACAGTACATATATATCAGATTTAAATGAAATTTACAAAATGCTTAAACTACATTATACCTTATTATGGCTTTTAGCAGTAAAAGGGTTATTAAGTGGATAGAATATTATCGGAACTTAGATAAAAAAGAAAAAAAAAAAAAAAAAAAGGATAGGAAAAAGCAATCTTACTGTTCAATTTAAAAAGAAAATTAAACAAAGCGGGCCGTCTCCTCCGCCCTTCTTCCAAAGTACGCCACTAATTTGATTTAAAAATCGTTTAGTTTAGTTACATTTCGTGAAGCTTCAGGATTATGAAGATATTGATGAAAGTTTGAATAAAACAATACATTATACTCGCGAGAAATCATGATTCCACAATCATTTAAATTTCATTTCTCTTCTTCTCGTTACCATAAATTCTACAGAATGCATAACTACTGTAAATATTTTCTTTTCAAGAAAAAATTCTGGGGGGGAGGGGAACGGTGTTTATCAATTCGCATACTCGAAAGCAATAAGAAGTGCGAATAAGGTTTCGTAATTCGATTTGTAGTAACCAGGAAAGGAACTTTGAAGTTAGATAGGAGGCGTTGCATTATCGGTCTTATATAATGTTACTTCTTTCAACATCGCACAATGTTAGCTTTCAGTTTTCAAAAGTCATAGGATAAATATTTTAAGTGACCGTTTTTAAGAAGAACTCGGATTACAACCGATCCACGAAGGAAATATTAAAAAAAAAAGTATTACTGGTCAAAATTGTCTAAATGGGCATTTTAAATTTCTATTGTAAAATTCTAGAATTATTTGTCTTATTGAATTTTGATATGATAAAAGAAAATAATGCAAACTTTAGAGAATATATATTTTATCACAATCAAAAGTTCAGGAGGAGGGGATAAGTTGATGGTGGAGGAGAGGGGGTAACTTCATCCTTCTTCTCGAACACATCTACCATCCAAGTATGAAAATTAAAAAAAAAAAAATAATCAAAATTTAATGCTAATTATTATTATAATTTTAAGGTGTCAAACTAGCAAAATAATTATTTAAAAAAAAAAAATAATGGGAGAAGAAATACTTATATACATCCGGGGGCGGATCTAAAGAAGGAGTGCTTTTGGGCTTGAGCTTCCCAAAATGGTAAAATTTTTTATGAAAAAAATCATCTAAAAAAGTATTATTGTTCGTCTAATAAACAATTAATAAGACTTCAAAAATCATGTAAAGACCACTTCATACAGGTAGTTAGTTTCTTTCTTTCTTTCGAAGTCATTATCCTAATAAATTTATTTAAAAAAAAATGTTTCGGGCTGAAACTCCCCCCCCCCCTAAAATTAAATCCTGGATCCGTTAGTGTATTACACCCATGATCATAATATACAAAGAAATATGTGTGTAAAGGCCAAGAATATTGATTCATTATACCTTAACTATACTTTTGTATTGGTTCTTTTTAAGTAATTATTAACACTAGTAATAAAAGATGCTACAGTTTGTGTTTTTCAATTTGTATCAAATAGAGAATAATTATTGCTAAGAAAAGAACATTAATAAAGTATTTTATTTAATGTTACAAATTCCAAATTCTAACTAATTAAATTAGATTTATTAGAAAATAATCTTTAAACCCAACATTTCCAAATATAAATATTAAAGAAAAATAAATATAGATATAAAGCATTAGTTAATTTCTGCATATTCAAGTGAATGAATTGTAAGTCACGAAAATTCTCATGTGCAATCTCAATAGTTTCAAAGAATCTTAGGCCCCAAATTTCTGCTGCAACAAGAATAGTTGAGGACACTATTTCATCGCAAAGAGATATTTTTGTTTCCCATGTATCACCTGCCTCATATTGAAATTTCTCTCACATTTGTTCCTGCAATACCCGAACTCTGAGTGAAGCGGTCTTGAAAAAATGTGGAAAATCCGCCAAGATAAAATTTCATAAGTTTATTTTGCCAAAAAAGGGAGCTTCAATTTTCAAGATATTTATTTTAGCCTCAAATAATATTAATTATCTGGCATAAATGACTTTGAAATTGATTGTTTACCAGAAAGAAAATATTTTCAAATATATTCTATTTATTTAAAGAAATTACAGAAGTAAATACAAACCTTGTTCTAAAAAATTTACCATCTAGAGGATTCTGAACTTTTGAAACTGAAGGATAAATTTGTAAAGACAAATATTTAGGTTCCTATTTTTTCAGATCTCTCTCTCTCTATGTAAAAGGATTCTTTAAACTAAGGAGTACAAACACCATGGTCTTCATAATAATGGAATATATTTGAAGGCATACTCATATTTGTAATGTGTTGGAAGATATTGAAGATACATTGTAATATATTTAAAGATATATTTATAATATATCGGAAGACATATTGGTAGATTTGAAGATATTTGGTAAATTAACTAAGGGATAAAAATATTGAAAGAAAATAAATCAGTATCCTATTTTTCATCAGCTTTCCGTGATGAATATATTGACAATCTTAAGGCCGTTTTTACAGGAACTTGCTAAAGATTAAGGTAAATGATAATTTTTTTGGGAGGAGAGGCCCCCAAAATAGTGATACGTAACAATGTTTTATGGAAAAAAATATAAAAAAATTATCTCTTAAAGTATTATTGCTCATCTAGTTATATTTAACAGGACTTCAAGAATCACTTAAACAACATTTCATAGAAGTAGTTAGTATTTTTTTCAAAGGATCGTTATGTATATGAAAAAAAAAAATTTGGGCTGAAGCCTCCCCAAAAATTAAATCCTGGATCCGCTAGTTATACCAGGTGTGAATTTTACTTCATGAACTTTACTGAAAATTTTCAATTTTGCTAGAAACAAATAAGATAAAAAAAATTGAGATTTGACAGCTGATTGGTGTTACCTTTGTTTGTAATTATATTATTTTTGTTCGCATCAGCTGTCTCAGAACGTTTTAAATACTTTTCATGACATACTGACAGTAAATTCAATCCATTTGATTGCATAAAGCATTGGCCAAGAGACTTGCTTAATTGATCTAATTTATGTGATCTTTTACTTTCGTACTTTTTGTTTTTTTACCTCCTTAATGCCATATTAGCTTAATACTTCTGTACAAAGCAAATTTATCCTATAAGTTTTATCTTTCAGATTATTGATTTCATATTTTAAATTTTTATTATTTGTTTTTATTGTTTGTTTATTTTTTCTTCATCCTGGATCCACCTCTGTATTCCATTTACATAAAAAGTAACCTTTTTTTTTCTGAAATACTCAGATTAAACACAAAAGATAATATATAAATAAATTAAATGGTACCATACCTTGAATCGTTACTAAAGGTAGAGCTGAGGATGATATTTCATTTTAGAATTTTAAATATTATTTTTTTAACTAATTAAACTATTTTTTTATTAACATGAGTAGCAATCAATATTTTTTTTTATGAAATAAATAACTTTATTAGGTCATTTGAAATATAGTTTGTACATAATAATTATTACTGTCATAGTACAATGTTGAACATTAAAATTGTCCTACTTTTTTTTCTGACTGAGATCTATTCATAGTTAAGCAAAAAAAAAAACTATCATCCATTATAAGTTTAAACAGAATCATTCAATCAAATTAAAGATTCATGGAAAAATTTTAATTGAAAACAAGTCAATCATAAATGATTTGAGGTCCTATATATTTACATTTGCCTGAAATACTTTCAACATAATAAACTAATACTAAATTACCACTTACAGAGATGAAAATAATAGAATTCATAATGAGATTTACACTTTGAAAGTTTAAATAATAAATTTTGTATTCCATATAAGTAAAGTCTAGAATCGATTTGTAGTAAATAATAATAAATTAACAATTGAAACATTATACATTTGTAAAAAACAAATTCATTCAACTGTGGAATGATTGAAAAAAAAAATACGTTAGATAATTATTACAGTTTAAAAAAATTAAGATTTCCTAAGAAATTCTCGAATTGGAGTTCTTTGGTATTTTTATCATAAAAATAGAGGATTAAGTGGAATAATGGCAATTAAATAACATTTTGAGATTTCAAATATTTCATTTGGGGCCTACTAGTCCATTTTAACAATAATAACATTTAATTTGTTCTTCTAAGATAATCACTTTTAAATCTTTAAATCTTAAGATTAAATTACTTATGATCAGAACAATGCTATACATTACAATACCTACTCAAACATCGTAGAAAATTTCTTTCAAGTTTGTGTCCGTTCTAACATACTTATCTCTAAAACTAAACTTTGCACTTATCCATATCATAAATTAACCATTCATGGAACTTAATTCTGTTTCTGGTGGGTTTTAGGTCAGTTTTCCGTGTAAAAGACTTCAGTGGCAACATTACTCAGAAGCTGGTTGGCCACACGTTTAAAGACTGCTGCAAGTTTCTGTTTCAGTTGTGGCATCATCACCCGCAGGACTTCTTGACCATTTTCTCGAAGGAACAGGTTAGTTGCTTCAGCTAAAAATGAAATAACAAGAAATGAGAATGTGCTAACAAAAATTGTGTAATATTCAATTTATTTATAAAAAGTAAAGGTGGACCATTATATCCTAATAATATGTTTTATATTTATTTTTGAAAAATAACCCTTTGTCGTTAGTAAACAATAAAAAAAAAAACACTTATTGACTACAAACTTTTTTAATTAGAGAAACAGGAGTTGACAATTTTATGAAACTTTTTTAAAAGTTCTATTTTAACAGTTACTTTTAGGAAAAAAGTTTTAAAAATGAAAGTTCTAAGAAACATTCTTGTGATAAGTTCTAAGTTTATGATAAAAGTGTAACTTTTATTTATTAAACGCTTAAAAAAAGTTAAATGATAAACAAACAGTAATTGGGCTTAGATTAGATTTATGATTTATCTTGAATAAATTACTAGATTCTGATGCATCAATTGTATGTGTAGGTAAGATTAAAAGTAATTTTTAGATAGACTTTTTGGAAAAATCGACAGAACTTTAAAATAAAGTTTTATAAAAGCTTTACATGAAAATATATCAGGAAAAAGTTCTAATTATAAAATAACAGAAAAAATAAATAAAAATTCCAGTCATACCAAAACTAATTAAAACTAAAAGTTAAAATTTCATTTCAAGCCCTAGAATCAAATATAAATATCTATGGAAAGCTTTTTTTTTTTTTGATAAATTAACTTATATTTGTTTTTAAATTTAGCACTAATTATTACACCACAAAGTCAAACCTTGTTTCTATTGTCAGGTATTTATGAAATATCCTTGTTTAGAATCAAATTGTTTTAATAAAAACAAATCAAAAGAATAATTGATATTTCACTTTTCCTGAAGTTATTATTTTGTGATGGTTAAGGAAATGTTATACAGCATTGTTAGAGAAGTGTTATACGGAACTGTTGTTTATTGATCAACAATCATATAATGAATAATGGCTTTCTTATCACACTCAACTATCATATTTTTGTAATTCCTTAACACTTTTGGTGGATGGTGTTTTTTTTTTTTTTTTTTTTTTTTTTTTTTTTTTTTTTTTTTTTTTTTTTTCTAGAGGGCTGCTTTCTTTTCCCAAAGACAAGTAGCTAATTCTTTGGAAAATATTCTCTGTGTCCTTTTTTTAGGATGTAATCCAGAGGCTTGTGGTGGAGATAGAATACTCCTAATTAATTCCTGTCAGTAACAGTTTTTTCATTACTATTTTAGTTTTAAAGGGGTATATTTCAAGAATGGTTAGAAAAAAATCAATATAAAACATTTTACAGAAATAAACACCCTTGCACCAGGTATTTCATAAAACATATTAACTAATATGATGGGTCAGGTTCTAGATTTGTAAAGACTGTAGGTAAGCACCTAGAGGTTGTTCTTACCCCAGAATTAATTCTGAGGTTAATCCTCATCAAATTGATTATTGAGAGAAAAGAAAAATTCTCCTGCTTCCTTAAAAATAATTAATAATAATAGAATACTCACTCAATATCCTATTGTTATTAAAAATCCTTTTAACAGCCATCCTTACATCCTTAATGGTCAGATCAACATCCAGTTTATCAACATGAAGATATTTCTTATCATCTTTGTTAATTTCCCTCATCTGTCCTTTCACTGTAGCCAAAATGTCACCTGAAAGTATCAAGTTAAAATATAATAATTTGTTTAAGTAAAACATGTCAGGTAAAATAAAAATAGTAAGAAATAGAAAGAACCTATTTTCTGTATAGAGTTAAAATAAATAATGAAAGTTATATCTTCTCAAAATATAATCTGATGAAAATATGAAAGTTGTATCTTATTTCATTTAAAGATAATCTTGATAAAATGTGATTCTAGTTCATATAATACTCCATTAAAATAATTTGTTAAGTATAAACTCATAATAATAGTGCAATAATATAATATATTTTATAATAAATTACTGTAATAAGAATATATTTTTAAATAAATTACCCAAATGAGCATTAAATGTTCCATTGCCACTAGCAGGAAGTATGATGAGAACACCGCTGCTTGTATACCTTGCATTTATACTCATTTTAGGAATTCTGATCTTAGCTTCAAAAGGGGCACCATTTTGAGCAAGCCTAGGAAACATTAAAATATAGTTTTAACAACATGAAGATATTTCTTTTCATCTTTGTTAATTCCCTCATCTATAAAGAAATTATAAACACTCTTGCAGATGGTATTTTCATAAAATATGTTGACTGCAACATATTAGGCTTAACATAATGATAAAACAATAGTTATAATATAAACTGATTGTTTTTTCTTTTTCTTAATAGAGGGTACAATCTTGTATAAATATTACATATAAATATTTAATTAAATACAAAAAAATTTCTTATCGAGTACAACCATTGAGAATTTACTTTTATACCACCAAAAAATCTAACTATGGAGAGTAAATAATTTTGTAGTCTGATAGACAGCCTTTGATCTCTTTTTCTATGGCTATTTTCATCCTAATTAAATTTATTAGAATAGCAACCAAAAAGAAAAATATTGATAAATATCACTCATGTATATAGCCAGTTTCTGCACTGATAATAGATAATTTGATTGTAGATTGACCACGTATGGAGTTTCTTAGCTTTATATTATTAGATTATAACTCAATTTATTTTATTCTAACAACTTATTTACTCTCAGATTGAAGGCTTCTCACCAGTTTCAGGGGGCACAATCTATACCATAGAGAAGGATGTTTATTGTATAAACATATGATTAGTTCATGTTTTATTTTTAAACACTATACAATAATTATAATGGATGAATGCAATGTCATAAAATTTTCTTTATAAATAGCATTTGATGTACTTTAAATGATTTAGTACAAACCAAAAACTTATTCTTATAAATAGTCTTGGTTGCACTAAAATATATATTATTTTAAAATGACACTTTAAAATACTTTTTTAACTTGATAACTTGATGGACCATGTTTAGACTTTTTATAATGAATACAATTCAAATCATCTCATGGCAAACCAAATTTTTGTCTACATTTATTGTCAGCATGAGAACTGGGGTTTGACATTTTCTTACTGGATTCATTCCAGCATAAAATGAGCTCTTGTTATAAATCATAGTATAAGTCTGTATTGCTTCTTCTTTTAAGATTATTTAAAGTTGCTAATAATAAATGCCCTTCATGGCTAGTATTTTTGCTGTTGAATTTTATTCACTATAATATTTCATAAGTTATTATCCATAAGAATTATAAAAATATCTAATTATATTATTTATAGTAAAGCTAATAAACCAGATACAAAAATTCCATGGTGTTTTGAATCTTTGATTGAAGGATCCCTTTGTGAAAAAAGATAATAAACGCTGCTATTTCTCTACAATCATTGTTTTTTTTTTCTTATGACATATGACAAGCTGTCAGGTAAAAGGTAGTTTCAGGTAATCATAGACAATTAAATTTAATTGATTTGTCTAAGATAAGTCAATAATTAAGTTAAGGAATCTTAATTATAACCAGTTCAAGAAATTGAAGCTGTCACGTTTAATTATATGCTTCTTCTTTCCTCCAAAGATTTTAGCAGGTTATTGAACCCATTATTATTATTATTTTTTTTTATGTTGATGAAAAGATCTTAAAATTATATGAAAGTTTCTTATATATGAGTTTGTATCATACTCACTTGAGTTTGGTGACAGTAAAGTTACTGGAGCCGTAGATATCCATTTCCTTCAGAGTAATCTTGTAGCCGTTGGGACCAGAGGTCAGTGCCAAGGATAGATCATCCATTCTGAAAGGTTCAACTGTGGGCATCTGTATTTCTGGGATACCTGCAATAAATTTAATCTATTTTATTTTTAAATGTAACAATATCTTGCTTAATGATAATAACCAATTATGCTATAAGTACGAATACAAATGTATAAACATTATGTAGTACATAAACAGTATGTATAAACATAAAATTAAGTTGAATTACTGTTTGTAAACTATATACCGGTTATGAGCTATAAGTTGCTTTTCGACAATTTTTAAAGATTTCTGAAACTAAGAATTTTATCAATCATAGGAGCAGACTTCAAGGGGAGGATGTACACACTCCAATAAATATTGTTTCCTCTTCTCCCCTCCCCCCCCCTATATTTTGAAGAACAAAAATAAAATCAAAATCAATAATAATTAATCTACATGAATGAATAAAATATGTAAACTAAAAGCAATTAAGAAAGTAAGAAAAGTTGACTAGATGGCTATTCTAAGGTCTAGAAGATGGTACGCAAGTCTTTAATCACTACCCTATATTCCTAATTAAAGTAAAGATTATTATATCCTCAGCTAAATGTTAAAGTAACGAATTTGAGCCTGTTTAACATTGAGGCTTTTCCAATCCCTGTGGGCAAAATTAAATATTTCTATTAAACAAATTGGTAATGTCAGGATTCATTTTTCAGGTCTGCCATAAAATAAATATTAACTGACTCAGGAGAAAATCGAGCCCACATCATTCTAAACTGGACACTGTGGTTAGTGTTTTGCGGTACACACTTTTTAAATTAATACTCCTTAGTTCTAGCATGAGCCTTTTTTTTTTTTTTTTTTAAAGGCTTAAGAAAATTCAACAGCAGTCAATATTTATGTCAAGATAGACATCTTTCTTGAAAAGGATTTCTGAAATTTGTCAACAAGGTAATAACTAAGTGGTCAGTATATTCTTGTTATTCTGGGTATGAAAAAATAACATCTGTTTTTTATTTTGTTTACCTTGATAGCCTGGTTTTTGAACTTTCTAATTTTATTTAAGAATTTTCTATTTACTTTGTGTTTTTAAGAAATATGTTTCATGCTAATAATGCCAACAAACACCAAAACCTTTGTCAGAATATATATTGGCAGTGACATCTGACGCTATGGGCAGTGCAGTTATTGATTAAAAGAGGAGAAAACATATCACCTTGAGGAACACCAGTGACACATCTATTCGCTTACAGAATGTTAAGTTTTTATAAAATCTCTCGACTACTCAACCTAGTCTGAAACTATAAAAACCTATGAATTAGGATGCCAGTTTAAAAGGATTCGATGTTCATGATATTTATCAGTCGTAACATTGAAGTTGAATGAACTACATTTACAATAAATATTTACATATTACTATTTTTGTTTAATTTGATTCTCCAAATGGTCGTCAAATTATTGAACAGGACTGACTCATACGTAATAGTATTCATATACCTCCAAAAAAGTATGCAAAGAATAAAATGGAAAAAACTGGTGTCCTTGTAATAAATATGTTTTTTCTTTTTAAAGTTAAAAGGTTTTTTTTTTCCTTTCTTTAATGTAAAAAAAAAAGAATGATTCAGCGCGTTGTTTCAGCACTAGGCTCCAGATCTGAAGATTTTAATTTTCCAAGATATAATGAAATAGAATATAAAAATTGTTAAATATTAATAAACAGGATAAAACTGTTTAGGAACATTAAACAATAATACCAACAAAAATTAGAATTATAGAATAACCATTACTTAACAAACAATATTTTTATGATTGACGGAAATAATATTTGTTTATCTTAGTATGATTTAAATATCTATAGTTGATATAATTATAATAATACTTAAATATCTCAAAAATAAAATAAATACAATAAATAGAATTCGAGATTATGTCAAGTTTGGACATACACTGTTGAACCAGTTAATTAATGGTTATATTTATTATTAAATTTAATCCACGGCTGTCGGAATATTCAAAAAATAGAATTTAATCCAGCGGATGTTGTTGAAATGGCTTGAGTTTTAAGAAATATCTTAAACATCGATATGATGGTCTTGTGTACACAGTGTTCTTCTGAATCAACTTACAGACTTGATAATGATAATTGGAGTTAACTGATGGTTAAGTTGGGCATAGATCAAAATTATTTTTACTTGGTAATAATCCGTAGAAATCTATCTTTATAATATAATACGTTAGTTTTTTCGGCGTAATGATCACTTTTCCGTCTCTCAGGAGTGATGAATTTTGATGAATGAGGAATCAAACGAAAGGATATTAAATGGAGCAGTGACGAATCACATTTCATTTGCGAATAACTTCAAAAGTATTCCGACTTTTGATTTTTATTGGAAGGACGATAGAAAAAAAAAACACAAAAAAAAAACAGAGATAGAAATGGCAAGAGTTTATATTATTTGTAAAAGTTCAACATAATTATTGGAAAATAAACAAATATTTATTTAAATGTTTTTATAGTCGTTAATGTTCTTTATTTTTAATTTTTTCTTTATTATTTTTTTTTCTTTGCTTTTCTATGGATATATTTGAAAATATCTGAACAAAACAATTGAATACATTAGGTTTTTGTATAATTTAAACACGAGCTGAGGGATACGACAGCCTCCATAATATTGATACATTTCTAAAACGTTTTCAGCTAAAAATACAAAATGTTAAAAACAAAAATATTTTTGATTTCTTGGTTTGTAAAATCTCAAATTAAAAAAAAAAAAATACACCGTTTTCACAGTGTGACTAGTTATTATAAAGAATTCAATAAAAAACATTATATAAAATATATTTATACTTATTAAATATATTTTTTTTCGACTTTGCCACGGAATCGTGAGGTATGAATGAAGGGTGATTGAATAATAAAATCCTAGGAAATATTGATTATTATTATCTTTGAATTCAAATTGCAATTTAAATAAAATAAAATAGTTACATAACTACTTCTTGGTCACCTAGATCACCTAAACTTAGCCTAGAAAAATAATAATAATAAAAGGAAAATTTTTTTATTAATTTTAATTTTTTTCACTTTTAACTTTTTTCACTTCAAATTATTAAGAGGGAGGGGGAGGGGGAGGAGAACGAAACGATATTCTTGATTCTTGCCCAATCAATATTTAATTTCTACCTCTTCGAAGATACTGCATTGGCTATTCTAATACTTTTATTGTATGCCTTATTTATTATTTCGTAAAGGCATTTTTTTTGTTGGTACATTTTTTATTAATAATTTAAGTTACATTTTTAATAATTTAAAAAATCCCCTAATCGAGGCCTTTTTTAATGTAAAAGATAATATTCACCATTTATTAGTATTTACCATTTATTATTATAATAGGTCCTAGAAAAGTAATTCGTAGAAATGTTTTGGTTTATAATGTTAAATGAAATATTGTATTCTACCAAGAAAAACATAATTAATTCCTAACTGACATAATACATAAGATCTACTTATGTCTATATTATTTTGCTGTTCCATTTACTAACTTATATATATTTTGCCAATTCGCGCTAACCAACTAGTATAAATGAAAAAAACAAAGGAAGATGCCACATAACTGCATACAGCAAACTGAAAAATAATGTTATAAAATAAAAAAACGACAGTGAGGCTAGTCGAGTTGGGAAATGTCAATTTTTTAAAAATCCATTTTAAGATTAATTAATATTTCACAAGACTTTTAGGAAGATATTTTATCGTACCTGGTCATTTTTAATAATTGCCTAAGAATTTATTATAGCTCGGGAAGGAATGGACTAAACCGGAAATGGAGTGAGAATGAAACGAGGTTGGGTTGCCCAAGCTCGGCCAAAGAACCATCTTTTCAAAGGACCTCTTTCAAAAGACGATAATTAACGAGGCTTACTTTCTCGTATAGCTCCAGGCTCACGTACGCTCCAGCTCTGGGCAACGACCTCCTACTTGGAGAAATTGTGACCTTTCAGGAGTGACTATTTCAGCGAGGTGTGCTTGCAGCAAGTCCAATTGGACGCACCGATCATCGATGGATGAGAGGCATATGCCGCAGTCTAATGCTTCTTCAATGGTCTTAATTTGCATATGATGAAAGATGTTACTTCATTCTTCACCTCTACATGCTAAGGTCAGCGAACCAGGTCCCTCAGTTATGAGATACCGTGAATTATTTTTCATAGATCTACTACAATTATTAAAAGTGCATAATTATGTTATCAAAGGAACTCATACAATAATTTAATTCTTATATATCGATATATGCATAAAATTAATCGATTTTACAATGATTTGTAAGCAGTGAAGTCTATTGCAATTTTAGAAAGTCTCTTCCCAACAATAGGACCGACAAGAGGAGGGGTGAGGAGGGGTTGCTACCCCGGGAAAAGTTTCCGAAGGGATGGTTTAATTTTTAACTTTTAAATCCACATTAAAATAAATATTAGATAACGTTAAATATATTGTATAATCATAATTTAATTTCTTTACATAATTTTGTTGCATTAATAAAAGGTTTCAAGTTGAGGTTTAGCGACAAATTTAATATTTGAGGAAATTATCCCTGGTGCCCTTGGTTTCTCTCTACGGTACTATATGAGGAAAAATGGAAAGTCGTCCTACAAAAGCCGGTTTTTTATTTTAACAACGTAACTAACAAAACTACCACGCAATTTTCTAAAAAAAAAAAAATAAATAAATAAAATAACAGCGGCGGCTTGAAAATGCATATTTAAGTTTTTTAAAAACAAATATAGAATTAAAAATAAGAACAGAAGTTCGTTAAAACATAAAATTGTATCTCGTACGACGTATCCGTCTTTAGAATTAAATTCACTTCATATACACTTTCCACAACAAGTAATCAATTCTGTTTATTCCAGAACTGATAAAAAAACAACAATAATTTTGTGAATAAACTCAGGAAAAGATGATTTGGCTTATACATTATTCAATTGCATCAAAAGTATATCTATTATACAAAATCTATTCTGCTCACAGTTATATATTTAGTTTCAATTTCATCTTCCATGTCTTATTCTTTCCTGATTGTTTTCGTCAGTTTTT